AAAAAAAATTGCTTTGTCAAGTTTTGTTGTTTTCCAGCAAAGAATGACGTAATGATAAAAATAAAAACAAAAAAGTACTTGAAAATTATTTCAAAGTTGTCAATAAAATGGATTGAGTTCATCATGCCTTCTATTATTTTTGTAGAAATAGAATCATTCGAAATAAAAAAAATTAAGTCCGCCCCCTCCCCCTCTCAAAAATCGATCTTCAGCAAGGTAGGATACTGTAAATTATTCAATCCTATATCATGATAATTTCGGAAGATATTCAACAAACAAAGATAAAAAATACCTCATTTAGCGACCCAAATTCTCTGTGGGCCTTTATTCTATATAATTGACTTATTTTTGTTTGAAAAAGTGTGTCAAGATGTAGGACATGATAGAATCTTTTGCTTTTTAAATTCTTACTTTTCATGGAAAGAAAAGGAATAAAAAGTTCAATGTCTCGAAAGCTCTCAAAAAATAGTGTTTGAATTATAGAAGTACTCTTTTACACAAAAAGCATCAAAGCTTAATTCAAAAAAGAGACTGGGCTATGTCTTACATCTTGACATGATCTTCAAACAAAGAAAAAGATAAATATATAGAATGAAGATCCACAGAGCATTCTGGATTGCATGATCAGGAAAGCATACTTTTCAAGCTGAAGGTGACCGAAATCATGAAAAATTCTGGCAGAAAACGAGGTATAGTGAACGAAAATGCAGCTAAAAGTAAAATATATATGAATTTTATTTATTTAATAAATCGTTACATTTCGACATCCATTCAAAAAAAAAAAATGATAACACAATAATTATTTAATAAAAACTAGTGACTATTCTTTTCGATATGCTGTTAAACATATGGTAGTGAGATGGAGAAAGAAGACAAATAGTTTACAATTTATCATAAGCATTTCAAATCGATATATTTTATGTAAATAAGATACGTCATACATTATGGCCGAAATCGTTCATAAAATTTGTGGAAATTTTAGTGATGAAAATCCTCTTATGGCTTGTTTGATAAGTGATGTGAAAATGTATTCGAATGCACTGATGCTAATGAGTGTTGAATATATAAACTTGCATTCTTCACAAGATATCGATGACGGACAAGTTAGCTTTCGATGGTTTCAGCTCTTAATTGAAATTATCTATCGTTTATCATAAACATCGATAGCAAAAAACAAATTAAAGACTAAGAAGAAAAAATCTCTCATTTTTCATGACAGTGTATACTTTACACTGTTTCTAGTGATCTCAGGTCTATTCTCCTATGAGGCTATAGACTACAGAGACGGCTTCAAACTTCTCAATATCAGCTGCAAAGCTACATGATTTCTTGGTAAATAACCTTGACTGAAAATCAATATTTTCGTCAAACGCTCGAATTTGGACATAATGCTCCCAAGTGAACACAAGACTCTATCGAGCTCAAATTTTTAGGAAGGTTACCAGTTTTAGGGGTTTTCATAAAAAATACATTAAAAATCGAGGGTTCAATATTTTTGAAATTGGCTTGCGTCAAAATTCATAAAACTCTTTCCCCCGTCACATATCTTAAATTGAGAAAGATCTGAGGACTTTGATTGAGCAAGATCGGTCGTGTCTTACATGTACTAGGTCATAGACATTTGCCAACGCATCAACAATAAAATTCTGTGAATATGCTAATTTGTCATCAATTTCACCGTACGATCTACCAGCAACAATCGAGATATCTGTTGTTTCTTCATTAAACTTGATTCTTGAGACTTTCAACAATCGAAAAGAACGTCCTACTTTACTTTATTTACAAAAAATCTTCATCAAAAAAATAGGTTAGATATGATATATTTATTTCAGACAAAAAAAGATGTAGGAAAAGGTGAAATATAAATTATTCTAGTCACAAACTCGATTGTTTATTAGAGTATAAAAGAAAATTACAGAAAACTGATGAGTGAAGTCTTTCTATGAATTTCATGAGTTTTATATAAACAATCAAGGTCCTTTTTTGACACAGTTAACACTATGTAAAAACACTTTGTACTGAAAACATAAAGAATGCGTAGCTACAAGGCGCCACCTGAGTTTGCTGTCATCACAACGAAGTTGCATTGAACAGAGTAGATGTTTGATTTTTTGAAAATTACGTTCTTCACGTTCATCTAGTAATTTGGATATTTTTTGAAGAAGTTCTGATTCATCTACCTGGAGTGAGGCTGCTTCAGCTACCTGTATAATTGAAAAGATGAATAAGATAAAGAATGTTAGAATGACGATGTAATAGAAGACGTGTTTCATCTTCTTTTAATTGAGTAAAAATTCGTGATAATATTTTGATATAAGAATATAAACAGGACGAATGCCTTATTTATATAAATGTAGTTTGTCTTTCTTTTTATACTTCGGAAATAAAAAGTCTAAATGTCATTCTCCTTCTTTTATAAAATAGTCGTAGAGGGTACACTTATATATCGTCATCTTCGTGTGAGGCTGAGAGAAACAACAGAATCTTCCAGATGTAAAAATATCTATAAGAAGAAAATGTTAGATGTGTTAACAGTGTTTGTCAATAGCATAAGTGTATCTCTAGCATAATGTGTTTAAAGGAAATAGGATATCAGAGAAAGTTTTATGTCGCAGAAGCTTACGGATAGAAGAAAAAGATATCTGTTGATGATTTCACGCGCGAGAAAATGCTTTCAGATGACGCTCTTCGTTTTTCTTGGTTCCGATGCTAATCGATAGAGGATATTTGAACTGAAAAAACACGGGCAATTGAAAAGATCATGATTCTCAAATTAACATGTATCCGCTAGAAACTTTGACATAAATATTCTCACAAAGACTAGGTACTTCACTGGAAGTTTCAGGTCTTTGGAGTGTGAGTGTGGCTGAAGAGAAGTCTAACACACACATGGAAATAAATATAGTCTATCTAGTTTTAAACGTTATTGATAGGATACTAAAAATTATCATATTTGATGCATTTGAAGATATTTTTATAACAGTATTGAAGTGAAGTTAAATTTATACGACATATATTGCTGCAGGTACCATAGAAAGTGTTAGTTTTTTCATAGAATCAGATTTGAATAAGCGCTGTAAAATAGATATACAAACTTTTCTTTTATCAACAGTTTTTTGCACAATCACTCATTATCATAGTATTTGCTATCCAATCCTATTGCTTCTAGATGTATCATTTATCAACCAATATATATATATATAATTTTACATGTGTCAATCGAAGTTTTAAAAACTATATTCTGCAGTTAGACAATTGCTTTTCTTGATTACATTTAGCCATCTATCAGAACAAATTTTATTCAGCAAAATTTCTGTACAAAGCTCCAAAAAATAGAATTTGATAGAGCAAAGTCAATTCCACAAAACTCACTATGTTACTGTACCGTGGAATACATCTTAAGGGACTTTCTAGGGAGTGTGTTTGAGGTACAGCTATTTACCACAGACTATTAATATGGTTCAGCAGAAACTTTTACTAGATGAAAGAAAATTAAAAAGCGATATATGAACGAATACGTCAAGTCTTAGGAAACAAGAATTTTCTAATCAGAATTAATTTTCGTCCATGTAATATGGAGAGTGTGGGTGTGGGTGTGAATCTTTTATTACTTGAACATCCACACTAACATATAGTGCATCCAGTTTTCGCTTAAACTAACAAATGACTGATAGTTATATCATAGTTGCCTTTAAAATACGATTTATTTCTTTTACAATTGCACAGTCATTTTAGAAATTTAACTCGATATTAATTTGATCATTTTGCTGTTAACTACTGGTCTTTTTAAGATCTGATCATCTAGAGCTTTAAGAATAGCAATCACTAATTCGAATTAAACTGAAAAAATAAAAAAAGATTCTCTTTTACCAAAAATATTACAAATGCGCTGAAGACTAGATTGGAATCATGTTGTCGCAACAAGCACCATCTTATACAACTATTTTGAGTTTAACACATCCTCACAATTCCTTAAAAATTCTGCTTAGTTTTTGTCGATAATGATATTGTACCAAAACGGAATGCATATAAATCTAATTGAACTAACGTTCGATTACATAAAATTTGTGTAGACATTTATAATAAATATCTTCAATAATACAGATAAATGGTACATAAATGTTCTGATTAAATAATTTTATTATTTTCATGAAATTTCAATTCCGAAATAAATTCTCAATCGATCATTAATTGAATAACTACGAAATTCATCTCTTAGTCATGCGACATTATTGTTTTGACTATGATGATTAATATTTCGTAAAAAGTTTCCTAAATTCTTCATTCATTTTAAGTATAATCATCATCATGAACATGATACAATATCGATTCTTCACATACAATAAACCTAAAGATGTATGTAAAAATTCAAGTGAATGGTGTACAGTCAGTGTCGTCCGAAGGATTTCGGAAGTGAAAACAGAAATACAATATTCGGATTCAGTGGTTGGATTTCCTCACTTTCGACAAGAAACAGCCATAACTTAGTAGAACCGACCGTAGGATACAATCATCATAATAGTTAGTACTTCCAAATTCTTATCATGTTTCGACCAGAGAACGACATCTTTTCTACGGAATAATTGATCTGAGAATTTTGTTATTACCTTTAGATATTCACTAATTTGTATATGATCATTTTTAGATGTTAGTGTTACTAATTCTTCGATATAATCGAAGATACTAAAAAAAAGGTAAAGATATAAGATGAAAAGAAGAATATGTTTTTTTTTGATTTCTACTATATCCATGTTTCAGATTTTAACTATTCATTTTCTCTATGATAATAATCGACACTAATTATAATTTGTATTAACAAAAATTTTAACATCAATTTTCATACTTAAATTAAATATTTCAAATCGATTGATATTCAACGCCCTCTTTTATATTGCAGAGGCTAGTCATCATTTTAATGCGATGGTGAATGACATATGTGCATAGTTTATCTTGAGTAGGAATATGTGATCTTTGGAACACCAATTAGTTTATTCGACAAAATGTGGTCGTATCTAAAAGATAATTCCAATATTTTAGTTGTTTTAATTCCATGCACAATAGCTATTGCCAGATTAATATGGAGAATAATAAAACGATATCCTTCTATTATTATAATGCAATCAACAGAAGAAAATAAATTTCTACTTAATCAATGCTCATCATTTATTGAATATCGTCCAACACCATGGATATTCAATGGACATTTAATGACAATATTCGGTGTTCTTTTTCGTCAATTACCACAAATATCATTTGAACGTATATTTCTTACAGTTGATAATACTGGTGGAACAATTGCATTAGATTGGCATACACGTCCTTATTATCGTCAACCTATTTTATTAATTCTTCATGGACTTACAGGTGGTTCTCATGATGAATATGTTCGTTGGATGATTTTATTGGCTAGTTCAAAACTTGATTTATGTTGTGTTGTAGCACATGCACGTGGATGTGGTCAATCAAAATTAACATCACCTAAATCATTTTGTGCTGCAAATACAAATGATTTACGTGCATCTGTAAAATACATTCGTTCTATTGTTGGAGAAGAAACTCCAATTTTTGCTGTTGGTTATTCATTAGGTGCTGGTATTCTAACAAAATTTCTTGGTGAAGAAAATAATCAATGCTCATTACAAGGTGCTATTGTTTGTTGTGCAAGTTTTGATATGCATTTAAGTACAAATAATCTCGAACAATGGTTTCATATACGTATGTATAATCGTCGTTTAACAAGTAATCTTATACGATATTTACGACAACATGAAGAACATTTTTCTAATCCAAATTCAAACTTATATCTTAATCTTAATCATGCTTATCAATCAAAAACAGTGCGTGATTTTGATACACATGTTGTTGTACCAATATATGGTTATCGAGATGTTGAACATTATTATACTGAAGCTTCACCAAATAAATGGTTAAAATATATTCGTATACCAACACTTATTTTAAATGCTATTGATGATCCAATATGTCCTATTGATGGTTTACCAAATGATGATATTTTACAAAATTCATATATTATTGCAATAAAAACTTTAGAAGGTGGACATGTTAGTTATCTTCAAGGTTGGTGGCCAAAATCATATTCATATGATAATATTGTTGTTGTTGATTATATTAAAGCAAGACTTAAACAAATGAATTATCAATGGAAAAAACAATTTGATCAAAGATCAATAATTGATATTAGTATTCCAAAGGAATGATAATTAAGATAAATTTTTTTTTTTATAAATTATTTTTGAAGCAAAATAAACAGTTATAAAATAACATAGAATCATTTTAAAAGACTTGTAACTATATAGTCGCGGTTATTAAGAATAAATTTAATTATTTCTAATTTCGGAATATGGTATAGAAATCTTTTAATAGAATTACTATTCCATGTTATAAGAAAATTTCGTTCGTAGTCTTTGAATTAATCGATATTTGGATTTTGGTTTGTGGTTTTCGAGCTTTAGTTATTTCTTTTAATGTTCTATGTTAATATTGGATCAGTTAGATAGTTAATCTATATCGAGAAGACGTTAAAATCATTGAACTTGCCAGCATATTAGGCAATTTATCTGTTGTTTTTTGTTCAATAACTAGATTGGTTAATAATGTATTATTTATAGGATCATTGATTTAATATGAACGCTACTAATTGTTTCACTATTAAGTTATTTAAGTAAAATAGTATGTAAATACTTATGAACATTTCGTTTTGATTTTTGTTTTCTATTTTGTGTATATTTTGAAACAAAGAGAAAAATTAATATTGATCGTGGCAAGATCAAAAGAAATGCAACAATAAGAAAAACAAGATACTGGTGTTAATAGATCATTGTTATATAGAAATTCTTCTTGAGATAGGGTTTTAATTTGTATTAGTTCTAGGATTTGTTTTTTTATTTTGACGTCGATACTCATGTTATGATGGAGAATTATTGAAATCCATCGCGTACGGTATGTCTGGAATATTCTTAGAAATTACGAACTGTGAAAAAATGCAAATAGTCTATTGACATATTTGTACAGAACTGGAAAGAGAAGGAAATTTGAGTGAATATGCTACCAAAAACTTCTACTCAGTTGCCACTTCAAGATATGAATACTGGTAGCCATTGAGAAGACTAAATGAAAAATGTTGATAAATAACCAAATCAAACTTCGCTCGAATAAAAATAATGTATCAAACTACGGTAAAAATTATAGTTAAAGTCTTCATCTATGAATAGATGGCGCATAGGAAGCTGCGAGTCCTTACAGACTCTGGTCCAGATCCACAAAAACGTGGATTCAAAGCTCCCTAGTAGCACAGAAAGAATGGGCGGCTTTTATTTGAAGTCTTTCAGAGACATAACGATCTTTATTAGATGTCATTCTGAGCATATTCAATACAGAATTCAATTCTCTACAAAACTATCAGCATTATCTCTCAAAGAATATTTCCATGTGGATGTAGAAGTCAAAATATTAACACCTACTCAATCGTAAAATTGTGAAAACTAAAACCTTAATGTACTAAATTTTTATTGAGAATTGAATTTTGCGTCCGATCGTATAAAAACCCATCGTCTATATTACCTATCTTAATGCATCCAAAAATATCCCTCATGTTTTTTTTCTCTTGTTCTAAAGCAATGAGAACCTTTTCAAGATTATTTACTCACCGAAATCGTTTGAACAAACAATTTCGATCTGTTATATAGATATTGTTTTTTGTTTTATTTGCGTGCTACGAAAAGAAACAAAAGCACAGAGGCATGTATAACAAAAGATCATTTGAATAGAATAACCAACTAAACGAAAAAAAAAAGAACTCTGACAAATTTAATCATCATCGTCATCATCGTCACCACCCATTCCATTTCGTATTGTTTTTGGTTTTTTTCCAAATAAATTAATTGTTTTTTTCTTTTCATTATCATCTGGTGGTGATTTTAAATCACCTTTATAATCAATAGCACCACCTCGACCTAAACGCCATTCAAGTATTTCAGTTGAAAATTCATCATGATTTCCTAAATCAGTGAAACCAATAATTTTATCTTTAACAATATTATCAATTAATAAAGCAATAGTTGGTAATGTTTTTATATGTAAACGTTCAGTTATAAATGGTGCACGATCAACATTTAATTTAACAAATTTTGTTTCAATATGTTTACGTGCTAAAATTTCTAAATGTTTATCAACAATTTTACAACGCATTGTTGAATCACGATAAAAATGACAAACAATACGTTCACTTTTTTTTGTTATATCAAATAATTCTTTTTCACCTGGTAAATCTTCATATTCACCATGACCTAATGAAAATTTATAATTTAATAAGAAAAAAACAAATAATTATTTTTTATTATTACCATTTGCAAGCCATTCTTGACGTTTTTTATGTTCTTGTTTCATTGATTCAAGTCGTTGAGCACGAAATTTTTCAACATCCTCTTCAGTTAATTTTTCTAAACGATTAAGTTCAGCATCAACCTAGATTAAAATAATTAAAATGGATTATTTTATTGTCTTTATAATAACTTGTTCTTCGACAGCTTGAGCTGCTTGCATTAATTTTTGTTCGAATACTTGTTCCATAATAAGATATTCTATAGATTAAATCTATGGACTAAATAGAAATCAATGTATTAATAAATGCGTACTATATATATATATAAAGTTCGCATTATACAACAACAACAACAAAAAAAACAAACATGTTTGAAAGATTTATTTGACAATGAATAGCCGTTGCTATCGACACTTTCATTGGATACCAATTACCATTTCTCTAGATCTTTTTTTCAAATTTATCGTTTATATAGTACTGACAACTAGTGTCATCTAATTATTTTCAATGTCAAATACATGTTGATATTAGAAATCAGCGATTTTAAAACAAAAAAATAAAAATAAAAATTGTCATGACAAATGAATAAAACTTGATCAGACTTTATAAATCTTTTTAGCAAATTTAAAGTTTATGTAAAAGTCATTCTTGTTAAAATTTAATAATTTCGATTAAGATAAATATTTCATTATAATAAAACTTTGAGGCTTTTTAAAAGCGATCTTTGTTAGACAAATACACAATCATTCTGATAGTGATTCTATTATAAAAAGAAAACCATCAAATCCGTGTGTAGTCAACCATGAAATGTTATATATTGACTATTATGTATGCGTGAGCATTCTAATAGAAGAATCTAAATATTACAGACTAAAATTTACAAAAACTGAGATAAAAGAAATAATTCTGTATTATAGGTAAAGATGCGATGTCTTTCAGTTATCATACATTTCTTGTGTGAAATTTGCAGTTCAGCTAGACAGTTACACTAGTCAATGACTATTGAGATTCAAATTTATTGGTGGAAAAAAATGAAGCAATAGCTTGTGTATCTCTCTTGACTTAAATACTGTGTAAAATTTATAGATAAAGAAAATAAAAAATTTAACTTTAAGTTTGTTGTTTGTAACAAGTAAAATACAAATGAATTTTGAGATTCTATTGAAACAACATTGGATTGGATTAGTACATAGAAGAAAAATATGTTCTCTTCTCTCATTGGTTTTACATATAATTTTTCGAATGATTAAACCTATTTTCTACCCGAACTGACGCTCTGTTTACACTCTTCTATTCATTATATTACTTGCTAGAATCAACATAGGTATGAAAAACTTACGAACATACTACTTTATTATTTCACTTCAGAATATTCGATAAATGTACAGAAGTAAGAGCCTCTTTAAAAACAATGAAATGAAAGCGTTACCTGAACATATTGGTATATTTGTTCAGATTACACACATTCCTTAAGCTTCACACATAGTGATATATATTAAATTATGTTCAAATTTAATTGAAATCTAGTTAAATCTAGGAAGTTGCAGAAATCGCCAGTGTTCTCAATTGAAATTAAATTTGTCTTAGCATGTTTCAACAATAATAAAAAGAAAGGATCTTTAAGCTTATGCTTTTTAACTAGTATTTTTCATCAATAGTTATTTGTTTTCAAATTTAACGTCATTCCTAGGTGATAAATATATAATACTGTTAAGTTTTCATCAGTCATTTTCCAATCCAAAAGAATGAAGAATTTTTTAGCTTATATATTCCTTATGATAGAATAATAGTTGCCTTTTCTTAGAATTTAATACTTCAATAATTTAAAATGTTGTTTCGCGTGTTCATAAAAATATTTTCGAAATGCTTTTTTTAATGTCGATACAGAAGAAATCATCGAATGCATACATTACAGTATGAATAAGTAGAAATGAATACTCTATTTACACAAAAATAACACGTGTATATTATTTTCGTGATTTTGCGCCTAATTAAAAACGAATTCTATCCAAGGTTAGTTTTGCCTATGACATGTATATATATATACAGCATATATATAATCTGAAGAACTGATATAACGATAGAGATAGTAACCTTTTTGATCGAATTATTTGATTTGTTGATAAAAAATTTGACTTCGATCAAAAGTAAAATGATTGATTCTTTTCGTATTGCCCATGTCTCTTAATTATCGTCGCAAAATGAAAGAAAAAAACAAAATTATTACGAACATAGGTTTTTCTTATCATCGAACGTTCGAAGAGTATTGCACAAGCAGTGTATTGTTTTACTCATCATTTATTTAAAAGATGTCGTTAGAACAAAATAAAGATTTTCGTATAACCTTTCTTTTTCTATTTGAAATAAAAATATAAAATCAATTTTGTTTTCATATTAATTTAGAAAATTTTTTTTGAAAATTCGAATAATTATTTGCTTGAAGATAAGATCCAATCATTTGATAATTTAAATATTATTTATAAAAATGTCGCGTACAAACGAAGTGATACAAGAAACAAATACAGCAGTTAATATTTATTTAAAAAAAGGCGATCAATTTGCACAAAAACTTATTCGAGGTACACCAAATGGATTAACATTAGCTAATTTAACATGTGGTCTTTTTTCACTAATAATGTCTATGAACGGCCTTCATCGTTTTGCATCATTATTTATACTTTTGGCTGCCGTATGTGATTATTTTGATGGACGCGTTGCACGAATGCTTCGTGTTTCATCTGCTATAGGTGCGCAATTAGATTCATTAGCTGATGTTGTTTCATTTGGTGTTGCACCAGCAATACTTGCTCATTCCATCCAACATTGGTCATTTTTAATGATTATTGCATTTATTAGTTTTCCGTATGTTTGACAAGAAAAATAAAATAATGAAAAATAAAAAACAAAACGAATTTTTTTTGTAATTTTTAGTTTAACTGGTGCTTGGCGTTTAGCAAGATTTAATGTTAATCCAACACATGATTATTTTATTGGTCTTCCTATTCCAGCTGCTGGTATTGTTGTTGCATTACTTGCACTTTTTTCTTTTGTATCACCTTTAATTATGATCGGACTTGCTCTTCTCATGATATCTCCATTACAAATACCAAAATTATAAAAAAAAACAACTTATATATATACATCTTTTGCTTTTTTGTTTATACCCGCATTCATACATAAAAACCCTGCTTATCTTTCATAACAAAGTAAAAACCTCGAATTTGTGTTTTGGTGTAATCATAATAAATTAACTTTTAGTTTTAATATATATACGTATATATTTTATTATGCAACACGCAGAATTAATTTTCTAGAAATGTCATTAAAGCATGTTGGAAAAAAAAGAACGCAAAACACACTAATTATACACAAAAAACAAAAGAAAGTAGATTTATACAAAAAAAAAAAAGAGAAAAAAGAAAAATATATGCTGTTTTTTTATGTAGTATTTGTATATATTTTAGTCACACAGAAATTAACCAATAGGTAAAAACAATAAGAAAAATGTTTATAGATCTAAAGAAAAAACATGTTTATGTACAAATTAATATCTGTTCTTTTTGTTTTTAAATAAAACATAATCCACGTTGACATGCTTCACAGAATTCTTTAACATGTGGTGCCAACATTTTTCCTTTTCTTTGAGTAGGATCATGACGTGACGACTGACGAGATTGATTTTTTTCGTTTTGTGTTACTTCCTGAATTTCTAAATCGACATTGTTTATCATATCAGGATAATAGGTTTCAAAAAGTGCTCTAGCCAAATTTTTCATTACTCGACAAACTTCATCTAAAAATATGAAAAAAAAAATTTATTACAAAATATAAAAATAAAGACTAAAAGACTCACCAATATACCAAAGAGCATTAGTATATGTACCACAATATTGACAATTTTGTCCGAAAATTTTAAGTACAATAAATCCAACATCTGGTGAACTAATTGAAAATGAAATTCGAGCTCGCATTGATGTCCATGCATGTTGACAATTTGTATCTGGACATTTAAATTGTGCTTTAGCATTGTCAAGTTTAAGACATTCAGCTTTAAAATTCATATATGGTCCATTGATAAGTTCTTCTTCAGCAAAAAGATAATAACGAACATTATGACATAATGATAATGGAACTGAAATAAGTCGAGCAAATTCACCATGAAATGCTACACTTGTATCAAAACAGAAATTTTTTTTTGTATCATCAGGAATACTTTTAGCAAGGTTAACTAAAACAAAAACAGAAAAAAAACAACATTTAGTATTATGAAATAACAAATTTTTGTTGAGTCATAATGACAAAGCAAAAAAAAAAGTAATATTGCTCAACTTACGATCTATTTTGATAAGTGAAATTGTTGATTCAGATTGAATTTCACATTCAGAAAAACCTTCATCAAGATTAGGACCAAAAGATTTTATTGATAATTTATCTTCATTATCATTAACATTTGTTATACACATATATTCGAGTTGTTGTTCGATTTCTTCTGTACCTGAATCATCATCACTTATTGAATTTTTTCGTTTATAAAATAAATTTTCTTTAAGTTGATCATCAACAGATATTAATTCAATTGAATCTCGATCATTAGTAGATGAACATCGACGAAGTTGTGAACCACAAGATTTCTCCATTTTTGAACTACCTGTTGTTGCACTATGTTGACGATTGTATATACGTGTTGAGCCAGTCATAATAGCTTTTGTTATTTCAGATGAAATAGAGCGTTTGTATGTGTCGTTGTTGCTTGTTGAAATTCTGAAAGTAAATATAAATGCTTAACTAGTGTGTTATATATATAAGGGTGAAAATGGTATGATGACTAATGTGTATAAGAATATTTTCACTTAGACGATGCAATCCTATCACAGGAAGGAAGAAGAAAAAACCAAGTAAAAACAAAACGAAAAAAAAAATGCGTAGATCAATAAGGGTATGATAAATTTTATTTCTTACGAAGAAATTAAAAAATAAATAAACCAATTATAGAAATATTTTAATTCGTTTTGTTGCTAATTTAAAAAATAAAATATAATAAAATTTAAAATATTTATATTTGAAAATTATTTTGATGAAATGAAAAAATGACAAGCATGTAAAAATTGAAGAAAAAAAAAAAAGGTCAAAGACATTTAGACTAAACCAACTCAGATACAAGAATAATTAACTGTTGATTATCATATAACTACTTTTTTTACTGTGAGAGAGACAATCTAGTTACTTTTTGTTCTGATGTAATTTTCTAATGACGTGGCTGAATGATGAAATAATCGAGACAAGACAAACAATATATTTCTATATATTCTTTCGCGTATGACTACATGCATATAAAGACGTATCCTTATATACAAGTGTAGACGAGAGAGAAAGAGAGAATTCTATTCTTTTTTTCCCTCTTACTCGACAATTGGAAAAATTTATTGTCGACATTCGTTGATTCATTCTTTGTTTTACTTGAGCCATCCACTAGGAAAATTCCAAGGTAGTGCAATAACTTATTAAACTGACTCATATTTGTCGTGCAGAACGAAAAAAAATTCAGGAATGAACAACAATAAACTGATATCAATTAGATTTATGTTTTCATTTCTTATTTCAATTTATTTGCCGTCAACAATAATTACGTTTATGTCATTTGTAGACAGAACCAGATAAAATAGCTAATTCGGAAGTTGCGGTTGGGTTTTTTCTCTTTTTTTTTCGTTCGTGTTATACCATGAGACAAGGCACATGTATGCCACGTAACGTCAAAACAGTCAGCAATTTATCAATGATTCACTGACAAAAATCCAGAGAACAAAAAACACCATGGAAATTTTCTTTTTCATGTGATAAAAAAGTATATGATGAAATTTCACAAAAAATTTAACGATGAATAAATAAGAAATGAAAATATACATCAATTTATTTTAATAATAAAAAATACATAATGAATATGATTTTCTAGTCGAATTTTCTATTCATCAACTATAATATATTCGAAATTTAAAACAACCAAAAAAAAACCCAGTGATTTCGATTGATATATATGAATCATAATTGTATTAACATAAATTGAAGAAACAAAAACATATTCTTCCAAAATATTATTATGAAAATTTCTAAAATGACTGTTTTATATTTATATTCGAACGTTGTTGGTTTTTGAAAAAAAACAAACAATTCTTTACAGAAATTTATTTGATCTTCTTTGTTGATATTGAAAATGTGAACGATATTAACAAGATCCTTGCTGATAAGCTCGATATAAATGTCAATGATGATGATAATGATCTTTCATATCATTTGCATATTGTACACATTTGTCTTCTGAGGATGAACTTAGTGAAGGTATTAATCGAAATGATTGATATGAATAAAACTTCTCAATTAAGATGGGACAAACATGTTTCATAATTTGAGTCGTTTCATTAAGATACCATAATGGTTCAATATTTCGACGACAAATTTGATATTTTTGTGTAAATAAATATGTAAACAAGTAACGTGTTGGTTCCATCAGGCTCTCTTAACTGAATCCTGAAAACAAGAAAAGATAGTATAGAATATTAACTTGCATATTGCTGAATAGATTCTTAAATGAGACTGAAATAAAAAATTCAACAAACTTTTTGTGTAAACATAATCATTACGTACTATTGAAATCTATTACCTTTCCGGTAGTTTATAGCTCGTCATTCTTCCGTATGTAAAATGCATCTATTTACACTAGTGTTGGAAATACAGTTCACTAAATTCGGTTGGTAAACATATGTGACAGTATGAGTATGTAACACATTATTTATCTAGAAATAAAAACACTGACAAGACTTCCTTCGATGATCTAAAATATTTGATACATTTCCTGTGCAATTGCATAACTTGCAAGACAGAAAGTGATTCATTTTTATTCTAAAGAGTGGGTCACAAAATAGGACTACGATAAAAAATTGAAATATCTCTGCTTCAATTCATTCGAATAGGCTGATTTTTTTGGTTAGTGATAGAAGCTTGTTTAAAGTTTTTTTTTCATACGGATAATACAAGCAAATACTATTGTCAAGTTGTATTTTTGGTCTCACTAAAGAAATTTCATCTCTTGTCAAGAAAGGAAAATACATAAGAAATTAAAAAAAACCTTATGAACGATGAGTGTAAGTGGGGTGCGAGTGTAGGTGTTTTGATGAAGTTGTTCTCTATTCTCATACTCACCAAAACTTCCACCCCACAACCCGAAAAGGAATCTGAATACAACTTCAAAGAATCCTTTAGATTTATGATTCGAAAAGATTCGTCAAGGCTTTCGCACGAAATACACGGAACTCTATAGTACAAAACGTATATGCAAAGATTCTAACTGAGTTCTTATCTTTTCCTATCAAGATCCTAATTACGTTTGACATTATCTTGTATGGATTCGAAAGTCTTATTCTTGAAAAGCTCTAAACAGAATCCTGAAAAAGTTAAATAAAGTTTCTCATAACAAGTATATATAAGAATTAAATCAGTATTCTGATTGAATCTTGTTAGGATTTCTCAGTTTAAGATTCTGACTAATGTTGTTATTTTCTTGACAAGTAGATGAGTGAGGGTAAATGTGGGTCTTCTCTTTACATTCACATCAACACCAACACCTATTATTTTGATAATAAAGCAGAGAGGCCGTTTAGAAGCAAAGTTGGTTGCCAGTCGCAACTCAACTTTACCTTTCCCCATTCTGCCGTTTCAACTGTCAAACATTAACTACAGTCGAAATTAGATCATTTAATATATTTCAGACTTTACCCGCATGAATTTAACTATCTATATCATATCCATATTGTATGACTCCAAAAAAGCAAGGGATATAGAATCTTTTTAATGAGAAATATCGTACTCTTTCATACATAATCGTAATTGATTTATCTATC